AGAGTTTGATACATTACTCTGATTATAACAAAATGTGCCCTGAAGATTAAATGTGTGATGACTCCCATGATTTGGGCATGTGAATGAGTGAGGCGTTAACCACAGTGGGTCACCTTGTAACAAACTACCATGGGAAACATGAGTGTGCCCAGTTTGACACTGAACAACTTGATACTTAGGTCTATTTTTATCTTTCCCTTTGCCTCCTATCCGATTTGTGCTGGGGCTGTTCTGTCACAAGTGAAAATGGCCTAATCATTAAGATGACTAGACATCTTCATTTGATGTCGAGATTAAGAATACACTGAGCTTTACATCCATGCCCTCTGTACAACTTCATGTTATGGTGCTGGTCATTTTTTGAGAACATTATTACTGACGGCCAGTGTCAGTGGTTCCAGAAGTTGATGAAAACAGATCATGAACTTATGGATTATGATGCTGTGTAGTTTTGTAGATAGGTACCAATGTTTCAGATGAACCTCCTGACTCCATCTTCAGAGTAGAAGAGTAATTTTCTCTTCTATCTGAACTGAAGAGGGAAGATTCCAATCAAGATCTTTATTTTCCATGCTCCAGTTACAAAATGCTGGTACTGCATTTGACTGACTACCTGCAAATGTCCCCTCAAATGAAGAAGAGCAAGTCAGATTTGGCTAAATAAGGAATTCCTGTATAGTAAGCAACTACCAATAAAAATATTTTCAATATTTAAAATAATACTGTCCATTCGTTTTCTAATTCTGGTCTTTAGTCATGCAATGTTGATTAGCTATATCAGAAAGTACAACATTAACACTTCGCGGACCGGTGATTTAAATATTTAAATCACCCTGGGGACCGGCATTTTTAAACATACTACCCCAACTTGTGCACTGTTCACTTTAAAAATTAATATAAAATCTCCTAATTAATTTTTTGAACTAAAATTTTTGGAGAACACTTACCAATGCTCCTAGAAGTGCTTGAGGATGTGATATTTCTGGAAACTTTCCCCTTTGTGAAGTGGCATTACACAGAACTTGCAAATGTAGACATACTCCTTTTTTTGTGAACTGTGCAAACATGGCATTGCCTAGAAGTAGTCCTCCCCTTGGAATGTTCACTCTTCACAATTTTCACGGAGGTATTTTTCCGCATATCACTCAAGAGTCGCCCTGGGGGGGTCCACATGAGGCATTCGTGGTGTGGGAGTTGNCCCCCTGCCACACTCACTATCAGATTGTGAGTCATTATCACTAGCAGACTCACAAGGGACGTCAGATAGCTCATCGGAGAAGAAGTCAGATATTTCTTGTTCTCCAAGAAATCGCTTAGGTGCCAACTGCNCCCACTAGCTCCTGGCTGATACACACAGCTTGAAGAAGGCAAAGCATTTTCCTTTATAGTCGGTTGAGTAAACAGCGAGGTCAAGTTACTGACTGCTAACTAAACATTCCAGAGTCTTATCACGCATCTGCAGGCAGTTGCGTGCAATGTAGGTGGCGCCAGAGCGATGTATAGTGTGTTGCAACTTATGGTGTTCTAAAAACCTGTTAACACGTGAACGGTCCGCCATGTTTAAAAGTGAAAAACCTTTTATAGGGTGTGCGGTCCGCAAAGTGTTAAGAAAGAATGAAAGTTCATTATAATACCAAGTGCTTCATGATTTTTATGATTATATGGATATGAAATAACATGAACGTTTTTATCTTCACAACACTCTTGTATAAATAACTGAGAAAATATCACTGCGCAAACTGAGCATGGTTGGGTGTTGGCTGGCAGGTGTGCACCTCTTGTTCTACCTAGAATGTTTACAAATGAACTTGGTCTTCATCATCAGCTGATCAGTTTCCTAGGCATTCTAGACAGAACCAGAGGCACACCCAGGCCAGGCCAGGCAATCCCACTGTGCTCAGTTCCTGCAACAGTGTTTCCACAGTCATACCCACAAGTCATGTGAGGATAGAAAATGTCATTCTATTTCATCACAACATGTGCACACACTTGAAGAAATAAACTCACAAATCACACAGGACATGAAGAAAATTATGTTTATTATAGGAATTATACTATGAACTGGATTACTATAACAGTTACAAATAACACTCTAAACAGCAAACCTATGATAAATCAGATTCTCATGGGGACGGACCACACAAAAACATCTGGATGAAAATTATATTCCACAATGAAGATGTACCCCTTTGAGGAGCAACCCACTTTATGGCAAAAATATACTGAACAGTGAACATAAAATGAAACATTATGCATGTTGTTTACCTTCTTCCTCCTCAGCTTCTTGCTGATCAGCTGCATATGAAGGAACATGACACATTAAATTACTGACACAAGTTTAAAGTTACAGGATACAGTGAAGTGATTTACAAAGACCTCAGAAATCTTTTCCAATGATGTAAATTCTGATAATTAATAAATAAAACAAAAAAAGGGGTAAAAATGAAAAATTTATACTACAAAGAGAAAACCTGTCCCAGTACAGCAATCATCCATTAGAGTTCCACAAAGTAACTGGGTACTGAACCAGGATCCATAAAGTGGATGACCTGCGCTACTGCCATGAGACAAACTGTTAACTATTTATTGTGAAGAATTTGGAAGCTGAATAACATGACAATCATTTTCACCATATAGCCACAAAAAAAGTATATAAATTTAAGTCTTAGTTCTAGGCGAAGTTGGAATATCAGGCAGTATACAGCTCATACAGGATCTGCATATACACCACTGAACATTAATTTCTAAATTAATACAATGCCTTACATGAACCAGGATTCAAGGAACAACCACATAAGATAAATATTTCTTTCTTTTTATTAGTTCTGAACTGAACATATGACAAACTGCAAGTGATATGTGGTGGGGGTTAACTAGGAGAAATTATTACAAGCAACTCCAGTGCTAAGGTTTGTGTAACTCTCAACATTAAAATGGTTGAGGTGTCCTCTGAGAACTCAACCCAGACAACAGACCCATGATCATCACACATGTTAAGCGATGCAAATCCTCTTCTTGGGCATGAAGGCTGGATGGTTTAGGATCACATTGTATGGCAGGGCAATCACATTCAATGAACTGTAAAGCAATTGGTAATAGGAAGTCATGGCCCATTTCAAGGTAATATCCTAGCACTCGCTTTGAGGGACTTAGGATAATCATTGTCTCAGTTGAGATGCAAACTGGGCACATCCTGAAAACTGTCATCTGAGCCAACTTGCTTGACAGCATGGTGGCACTGCTGGTCCTTCCAAAACTGCTCTGCCATTATCAGCCCAAACTGACTGAACTTCATCTTCACACAGATGATTTTCTTGTCAAGAAAGTAGGTGTTGAATACAGAAATATCAACAAAATAAAAATGTATTCTTTCATGCCTTTATAAACCTATGCATTAGTACTTGTAGAGACAATTCTAATTGCTGGTCCATGTGGTCAGCACCACTCATTCTCTTGCTGTAATCAACGACAGGTTTTGCTTTTATGATGAATTCCTTCTTATCTGTTTCCATTTACCTTTGTTGCCCATACCATTTTTAATGACATTGTTAAAAGGATGAAAACATGCCACTGCCATGCCATTTTATGGCAAAGGACATCTTATGATTGTACAAAGGCACAACTTCTCTTTTCTTGACATTCAGTCTTGAAGAATTTGCATACATTTTTTATATTGAGCCTCAGAGTGTTAAGGAAATTAGAAACGGGCTCGAACAGAATCTTATACAGAGCTACCAAGGCATACCACTTGCCTGTTTACAGTGTGTATCCATTCTGCAAAAGTGTGTCATGAGTTTCTCAACAGTGGCCTCTTGAGTAGGGAAGATATACAAAATGTTAACTTTTGCAGCATTCATATTCAAAATTGGTGGCAATACCCACTAAAAGACTTTATGGAATTTAAGGTGCCTTATCATAAATGGTGAAGTCCTTTTAGAGGAAATGAAAATCTACATCGCCACTTCACCTGACTCTCATTAATAGCTACGTTCTGCTCTAGAGTGCATAACAATGCAACCTCTGAGCTTTCTAAACAACTGGTCTTGTCCAACGTTTTGTTACTACAACTTCTTTACAATGTGGAGGAAATGAACACATATAAGGGTCCTGCAGGCCGGCCTGCCTGCCTGCCTGCCTGCCAGCCCATATGCCCATCCATCCATCTGCTCTGTCTGCATGTTTCAACCTGAGAAANGAGGAAATGAACACATATAAGGGTCCTGCAGGCCGGCCTGCCTGCCAGCCCATATGCCCATCCATCCATCCATCTGCTCTGTCTGCATGTTTCAACTTGAGAACCACTGGATGGATTTTGGAATAATCGGATGTTAACATTATGCTAGTGAAAACTGCTCCAAATTCATACATTTTCATTTCATACAACTGGTAAAAGAAATGCAGCAGATGCATAATATGTGAGGTGAGTCCGGCACTATTATAACTACCAAAATGTGATAACCACAGTAAGTATAGGAAGCATATTAAACATGGTAATAACTCATAGTAATGACAGGAACCATAGTAAAGCAATCAAAGTGACCAGAATAACAAATTTTAGTGCATTCAAAAATATACATACACTTGAATGCAAACTAAAAATGCCAAGATGTAAAGAATGCATGTGGAAACTGTATGCACTCCACTATGGATTGTACTTTTCCAAAATTGTTTACAAAATGAAAATATCAGAATATGTGAGTCATTCGAAAGGCACGGCATGAAAAATGAGGAGGAGAGAGGAGGTCTGCCAAATTTCCTGTGCTGCTGTATGAGTCTGGCGTGGGCCTTCTAACTACACGTTGTAAAATTCACAATCCTTCCAATTTACGTAGAGTTGAACCGAACAATCTGTTTAAAAAACTAGTGTTCAAACAGACACAGTAGTCCATGTAAATGTATGTTTATTTTTAAACTAATTTCAGATGAAATTCAATGATTAATGTTGAAACATATATGATTATAAGTTACACAAGGCAATAAATTATCAAATTTTTACTTACAATCAATATCACCAGTAGGAAGTTTTCCATTGATGAAGTCACTGTCTGATACACAATCAAGAATGCTCAGTAGTGTTTTAGTTAGTCGCAGCAAGTCGCTAAAACTGTAGAAACCAAAGTAGATCAAATCTCTTGCCAGTTTCACAACCTAAAATTGACAGTACTGTAATAAACTACATGTATTGAAAAAAATTACAATCAAATGTACACCCAATAAATAACTTTATAAGTTATTTACAAATTTATACAAACATTGTATTTGACTGTGAAGAAAGCAGTCTTCTGGGATGTGGCACCGTGAAGATGGAGGCGATACGTTCCTCCGAAACGTCGGTTAGCACCACATCTACACGGTGCCACATCCTAGAAAACTGCTTTCTTCATAGTCACCACTGAGAAAACCTCAAATCTTACACGTACATTGTATTTGACTGTCATTCTGTTCTCAAACTCAACAACTGGAAGACATTTCTACTGTGGTATGCACTTTTCTTTTACAGCACTCCAGCAAGTTTAACTTCAGTGTTGGTTATTGTACACAAGGAGTTAAATGGATAAGATTTAGGTCTCTGTTCAGTGAAGTATCAGTTCTGTAGAGCAATGAATTATCTCAAAAAATATTGTGTGTATGCCAGCATAGGTCAGAAATCAGTGGAGCTTAGAATGGTGAAGGTTAAAACTTGCATTTCAGCGTCATATTGTGACTATTTATTATAGGTTTTGCCTGCCAACACAATTCCTGTATAAATTGAATAAATTTATACTGATGATGGCCATAAAATGGCCAAAACATGTTGTAAAGTATAAAGAAAGTAAAAAGTATATATATTTCAATTTATTTAGGAAGTGTGTTGACAGAACCTATAAGAAATGGTGCAGATTAAAATTCATCTACAGCTATTCAATGCTCAAAATGTTCCTAATCTGTGCATGTAGTTCATTTATGTTTGCTCATACAACACCACTGTAATCAACATTAAGCACTCACACACCTGACATGATGTGTGTAAAGCAGTAGTCACGTTGACTACAATTTCTAATGTACTGCATTGCACACAAGCTGAAGGCTTTGCTGAAATGGCAACCAGTTGGGTACAGCTGATACTACGGACTGCAGGTCACATTATGCAACGTTGACAATGTGCACTGAATTTAGAATCACCTTCAGAGTTTATAATGTGTACGCATGACTGTGAATGATCTGGCTATCTGGCACAAATGACTCATGATCTTTATCAGAGATCTGTGTGTCCATGCCACCAGGGACACAGGATAAAGTAACATTGTTAGGTGAGGCCTGTCAAAGTTCATATCAAAATCAGAAATCCTGATTGGTCACCTGCCACAATGCCCACTGCTTCTGGCAAAGGATCTACCAGTCTGAAGGCAGGTTCCAATTCGTTTATCTAACAAGACTAAATCAGGATGAAGCACAGAGATGAAGCAGCACTCAGTGATGAGATAATCACAAGAACCACATCCTAGCATGTCATAACTGCACATCTCAAGAAGGGATTAAGGCTTACATGCCTCATACCTAATGCACAACATGTACTGTTCCATATGCCTGCCACCTGACTGTGGCTGCAAATGAACACTTACTCCCTCTGACTGCTGTACCTGATAAGGCAACACGTGCTGAAATTCGTTAAAGCCACACATTCTTGTAATCATGCATTGTCTCAGAATGGGTAACCGGTGCCTGATTCCAAACTGTACTGCTATAATATCCTCTCACTGAATAATACATCTGTTGTAATAACAGAAAACCTCCATCCAGTATTCTGAATTAAATACACAGGGTTATTAAAAAAGAATGAACCGATTTCAAGACGCATTGCTTCAGTTCTAAGCATTGTCATGGAATGAGTCAGTGACCATTTGAAAGAGGAGTTATCTAAGTTGTGAATGGCTGCCACAGGGGCACTGAAGTCACGTCATTCTTCCCGCAACGTTCAGTTGTTCGTTTACCCTCGGAATGGTGAGTCCTCAGCAAAAGGCATTCTGCGTTCTTGAGTTCGTGAAAACAAATTTGGTTGTCACGGTGCAGCGTGCTTTTGAAGGCGATTCAGCTTTAATCCGCCCTGTCCTAAGAACATTCGACGGTGGTTTCGACAGTTTCAAGAGAGTGGGTGTCTGTGTAAAGGAAAAAGTCCAGGACGACCACGAGTCTCGGAGGAACAAGTGGCGAGAATACGTGCTGCGTTTGAGAGGAGTCCGCGGAAGTCAACAAATCGAGCTAGCCGTGAGCTTGTGATCCCTCAATCCACTGTCTGGCGTGTGCTAATAGTACGTCTACATTTGAAACCATACAGACTGCGGCTCTTTAAGGCACTTACCAATGACAACAAAAGGAATGGAATTTTGCGATTCGATGCTGGAGATGATGGAAGATGAAACCTTCATTTCACGTTTAATTTTTAGTGATGAAGCGACTTTTCACTTGAGCAGCACAGTCAATCATCACAATGTGCATATTTAGGGAACAGAGCACCCACATGAAACAGATGAGCACGAAAGAGATTCCCCTAAGGTGAACGTCTTCTGTGCTGTGTCTCAGGACAAGGTTTATGGTCCCTTTTTCTTTGAAGGAAACACAGTTACAGGACAAACCTATCTCGATATGCTCCAAAACTGGCTTCACTTCACTGCAAGCAGATTCGCATGACTTCATTTTTCAACAAGATGGAGCACAGCCCCATTGGCACCTGATGGTCCGAGCTTTTTTAAATGAAAAAGTGCCCTAGCGATGGATTGGTTGGAAGGGGGCCAAAGACCTTGCTCTTTGTGCTTGGCATGCAAGATCCCCAGACCTCACCGTGTATGATTTCTTCTTGTGGGGATATGTAAAAGATCACATTTATGTTCCATCGCTACCCACTAACCTCGATGACCATAAACATCGAATAACAACAATCATTAACTCAGTGCATCGTGATATGCTGATACGCGCCTGGGAGGAATTCTCTTATTGCACTGATGTTGCCCGTGCTGCAGGTGGTGGCCACATTGAACACTTGTAAGACAGGAAATAAAAGTTGATTGCGAGTAGAATACTTGTGACTTGGCTGGAGTTTTGTATTACTTTCCTTTAATAAAATATTGCGTAATAAAATCGGTTCATTCTTTTTTAATAACCCTGTATTGTCACGCATTGGGTATATAACGTGAAGAATAACTTCATGCTGTTTTGGATCTAGCGAATTTATTGAACATTTGCTCTCACAATTACACAATTCAGTTTCACAACTACTGCCATCTGCAGTATCACAATTACCTCTCCTGCTGGAGTCACTGCCAGTCAATAACAATGGACTTCAACTCACTCCGGTGAATGCTAGACTGCAACTGACTGGTTACTCTCTCTCACTGACAAATACTCCTGTTATGTAGCTTCTGCACTGACAATGCAGAAAACAGTTACGTGATAGCTTTCACTGTTGCGTGACGTCGTGTTTACCGACTGCCTAGCAACTGTCACTGCACGGACTCCCCTGTTGCGTGATGCCGTGTTTACCAAGGCATTGCTGGGCAACACTGCATAGCATCCAGTGCGCTTTGGCTCAGCTCGGCACAGACAAACACTGCTTTCCTTACTGTTGCTTAACCTCGTTTTCACTGTTCCTTAACTTGGCAACCGACCGTTTATCAAGGGTCTGTCTTCGTGGTAACTTGTTCCACCTCCCGTTGCCCAGCAACAGTTATACATGTCACACTGCTCCCTTCTTAAGGCTGTTCATCCCAAATAGCCTAACAGTGCATCAACGGTCCTTTCCTTCCAAGGCTATACTTGCAACGTCTTCTTCTTGTCTTGCTTGGTGTTTCTTTTCTTCCCGTTGTCCGTTCTTCAACCACTACATCTGCTCCCTTCTTAAGACCAGCTCGTCTAGAGCGGTTTCCTGTTAATTTGTCAGGGGATCCAGTTGTATCACACTCGTCCCTCACATTCATCTATCACACATTCACTCTCTCTGGGGAGGCTGGTACTTCTACATTATTGGTTCCTCCTCTGCTTGAAGTCTCTTTTTCCATTTTGGAGGGGGTCATCCCCTCCACAAGGTCCAATCCATGATTCTCCGCATCCTGCTGGAAGTCTTGGGCATTTGTTTAGTGTTTTTCAGACTGTAGGTCCCAGTAGTGTTTGCTCTCCCAGGCTCCACTTACGGATGCCATCCGTGGTTGTCCCCTTCTTCCTCCTGTGTAGAGGCCGCTTGCCACGTTGATCCTTTGTTCCTTTATGATGTGTACGTAAATTCTTCTTGAGCGGCCCTACTCTCTGGGTTGCCTGCTCAATCATGGCCCTGGTGCGATTTCTCCCATTTTCTTTCTGCTGTGCCACTTTCGCAAGGCGGGTCGTTCCTTTGCTGGCGAATCCCAATCTCTTGTGGGGTCCACACTTTTTCTGGGTGGAGTTCCTGAGGATGTCTCTCTTCAGTTGTGCCACTCTTGCGCAATGGAACATCCTTGTGTCATTTCTCTTCCGCTTTTTCCGTGCCACTATTGCACAGTGGCTCATCCTTCTGCGGGTGACGGCCAGTCTTCTTTGGCACCCATCTTTTCCCTGGGTACGTTTCTTCATATTTCACTGGTTTCGGTCCCTACACCTTTTCTTCTTTGGTTATCCAATAGGCATTACTTCGGCGTCTTCTATGGGGACCTCTCGTTGTTCTGCTGCCTCAGGTTTCTGTTCACTGAGGTTGGTTGTTCTTCTTCTAGATGTGCCTCCGTCGTTTCTCAGTCGGCATCCATTATAGCCAGAAACTCTTTATGGCCAGCCTCTGTCTTCGCTTGGTAGCATTTCATGTTGGCGTCTATTCTTGCCAGCCTGGCTTCCGTCCTTGCTTGGATGGCTATTATCTCCTTCAGAAGTTCCAACATCTGTTGTGAGTTCATTTTGTGGCAGTATTAATAGTCGATGCACTTGTAAACTCGATTATTTGTTGAGGCGTGTTTAAGTGTGTAAACCACTTCTGACACCATACTATCACGTGTTGGGTATGTAAAGTGAAAAATAACTTCACGCTGTTTTGGATCTAGCAAATTTATTGAACACTCGCTCTCACAATTACACAATTTACCACTTCACAACTACTGCCATCTGCAGTATCACAATTACCTCTCCTGCTGGAGTCACTGCCATTCACACGATACGACTCAATAACAATGGACTTCAACTCACTCCGGCGAATGCTGGACTGCAACTGACTGGTTACTCTCTCTCACTGACAAATACTCCTGTTATGTAGCTTCTGCACTGACAACACAGAAAACAGTTACGTGATAGCTTTCACTGTTGCGTGATGTCATGTTTACCGATTGCCTAGCACGAGCTCCCCTGTTGCATAATGCCATGTTTACAAAGGTGTTGCTGGGCAACACTGCGTAGCAACCAGCGTGCTTCAGCTTGGCTTGGCACGGACAAACACCGCTTTCCTTACTGTTGCGTAACCCGTTTCCACTGTTGTGTAACTTGACAAATGACCATTTATCTAGGGTCTGACTTCATGGTAACTCGTTCCACCTCCCGTTGCCCAGAAACAGTTAGACATGTCACAATATTATATGAATTTAAATTATTAATGCCATGTTATGCTTCATGTGACATGCAACTGGGAAGACAATTATACATTTTTCTACATATTTAAACATGACTGGCGAAATTTTATCAGCATAAATTAATTTTCATCAATTTTTTGTACAAGGAGGAGCTTTGAGAAGACAGGGACAGATACAGACGCTTGGTTGTTAATGTCTCACATAAGGTGCAAATGATGGGTCAACCCCATATCGTAAATATCGGAGTACTAGAAATTGAAATCTTTTCCTACAACAGAAACAACAGGGAGGGATGTGTGACTGGTCATCACCAAACAAAGAGGCAAATAAATAATCTGAAATGTGTGGCGTGAAGCCTACATACAGTACACCCATACATTCCATGCTTAGTCGAAGTGGATTTGTCACTGCCTTCACTTATAGATCTGCAGAGTTTTCTTGACACCTCAGCTTTTAAATGGAGAACAGATTTTCACCCATTTCATACTTCTCCTTTGCTCTATGGTCCTCTAAGAAACATGGTCTCCTTTAACAGATGTCTGTTCTTCTCTATTACCTGCCTTTTGCATCCATCTCTTCACTCTCAGCTCTCATAAATCATTCTCTGCAACTCAGAGTCATCTCAGTCTTAGCCTTCCCATTTTTCTTCTACCTTCTGGCTTACTTTGAAAAAACATTCTTATCCACCCTCATTTGATTCAACCTAATCATATGCCTCAACTACTCTGTCATTCTCCTTTTAACGTCTGCTGCTGCATCTGGGGCATCATAATTCCCTCAGTTCCTGGTCATTTCTGATTCTCCATATCCCTTGCTTGGTCACTGGTCCATACTCCTTCTTCAGAATGTTCTCTCCCACATATTTAACACATATTTGTTCTTTTCAGTCAAGGACCATGTTTCACGTTCATACATTGCAAAGAGCCGTAACATTTAATTTTTTACATTCTGTTCTCAGTTCTGTTTTCACAATTACTAATCTCAAGCAAACAAATGATCAGTACTTTTTTCATTCTGTACATATGTGTAAAAACTGTCTCAAATGCAACACTTATTTTTGTCTCTCATATATCTTATTACATGTTTGAGCCTCACTTGACCACTATCAGGTGTACACACTCTAAAATTGCTGCCCTGTCATCTTAGTATGTTGCATGTGAACGTGTTGTGATTTTTAATTCCAAAGTCTTTAAAATCTTTGAAAGTTCATAAAATTTCTGATTCAACAGTGCATCTGGTTGTCATGTGTGGGTGTTTTGTTGGCTCTGGTAGTGTGTAGATATCACCTAAGTTGGGCTGTTCTGTGTGTACATATTTTAAATGATCATATCTGAACACACACAGTACAGAACAGAACAGGCAATATTCAAAAATATCAATCAATATTTAAGTACTAACCTCAAAAGTAAGTTTGTTCTGATCTTGGTCAGCAAAACTCCACATTTCAGCAACAACATTGCAGAGGTAGTCCTCCACAAACATTATTGTTGAGCTAAACTTTGCTCTAACAGCTTCTTTATTATGGTCTGGTGTTTTGTTGCTGTCATAACTATAAAGAAAATCACTATGAAAATCATCTGCACAATGGATCAATTTATGTGTCCCCATCCACATATAGTCCTCACCATGTGATGTATTTTTTTATTCCTAGTGGGGTGGGACTAAGTCCCTTGTACTGCAGTCACTTCTGGCCTATTGTACCAGCTCCAGATGATAGGTGAGGGTGATTGGGTAGCAATTGGTGGAATGAAGATGGGCAGGGGAAACCGAAGTACTTGGAGAAAACCTGCCCCAGTGCCACTTTGTCCACCACAAATCCCACTTGACCAGACCCGGGATTGAACCTGGGCCGCCGCAGTGGGAAGCCAATGACTAACTGCTTGAGCTATGGCATGGCCACCATGTGATGTAAATAGCCCTTCAATATGTATGTTGTTATACGGGTTTACAAAAAAATTACTTATGGATCAGGTCTGATACACAAAAGCGTGACTGCTTTGGATGAACTGGAAGAAATCTACTGTTACATTCAATTCTTGTCATATTTAAAATTTGGCTNCCATCCCCACCATTAGCCCGGATAATCGAGAGTTGACTGTACATGCAATGTCAAGTGAATGAGTTGAGTGGCACAAATGATATGTTGAATAAGAGATGATGATTCATGATTAGGCCATCAAACAAAGGCAAAAAATGATGCAAATGTTGAAAATAGTGTGCAAATTTGTTCATACCAATCAAAGCATGACTGCTAGAATGACAATAGAAAAACTGGGGATGGATACAGAGGGTTCATAAAATTTTAATTACCAGTCTCAAAATGAAAAAGGTTTAAACTAAGACAATGCAAAGAATCTTGATCATATTGATTCACATTGCTGTATCAGAGAAGCAGTTTCTGATGCAAATATGTACCCTTCTGGTGGAACATCCTGCTATTCCTTCTTCCTATCTGGTGCTGTGTACCTGCTCTGCATTACTGACTACATTTTTTGCTGGAAAGGATGCACTTGGTGCTAGGGGAGGTTCAAAGAGTGCATTATGTGACATCAAAAGTGTGTTACAAGAATGCTTCCAAATGTGGCAGAAAAGAATGGTTTCATGTATTGTTGCCAAAGGTCACTTTGATAAGTGATAAGTTGAGATTTAACTTAGTTACAAAGTCACTCCAGGAAATTTTTAGTTATACCTTTTATATGAATGTACTGTGTTGTACATCTCTCAGTCCAGCTTTCTTTGTTGTCAAATCAAGGTTCAATCCATATACTTTGTAAAGGACAAAATGTTGGAAATACCAGAAACATGTCATAGGTGTAGACTACAACAGGGCAATGATAACAAACATTTAGAAATAATTTACAGAGAATCAGCACAGTAACACAGATTGCTCCTACTTAACATGAAAGCACCACAGAAGCAAGAATTCATGATAGTTCACTATTTAAAAAATTATGTAGATCAGTGATTCTTACACTTCTTATTCATGCACCACTTCTGATAACAACAAAGTTTCACAGGTGAACTACTTTTGGAGGCAAGAAAGTGTTTATTGCAGAAGAATTAAATAGGATTTTTTTTAACTTGGAATTGTAATGTAAATTTAGAAGTCTGATTTCATTCCAAAAAGTAAAGAATTTTCTTAATTTTTTTAAATTTAATATCTTAGCAAACTTCCATTTGCCACTGTATTTTCATATAATATTTGAATAAAGAACTTCAGGTTAATAGTAATAAAACAGTAAGGAACTTTATAATCCCAGAAGAATACAAATCAGCCTTAATTAACACATAATAACAAATTATTGGTAGTGGCAAATCCAGGACATTCAGACCAAAGATGAAGTCAAATATCAACCAGACTTTTCTCTCTGAATATTAATTTTAGGGATACATCCAACCCAAGCTCCACCAACTGTCAATAACTTCTGGTGCAGGGTTAATTCCAGTCTCTTCAATCTGTGCAATATATACAAAAGTATTTTTGATCAATTCAAAGCCTGTGCCTGGCTCTAGGAAATAGTTTCCTCTGTTTTAACTCCCTTAGGACAGGTTCTTGTGATAACTTTTGTGGCGACACGTCTCAAGTGTCCATAACAACAGGGAATTTCCTAACAGTTAACAGCGAATATTCTGAAACACAGAGAGTAGTTACAGCTTAGTGTATGGAACTCACTCTTGGATGGACATTTTTGATGGAATTTCTGACCAAAGTCTTGCATACTTGACTGGAGTGACAGGTTCCTGTGGATCTCGGTCTACATGCAAGTGTAGCATAAGTCTGCAGAATGATGCTCGTAATTCATACGGTACACTTTCATCAGCCATGCATCTGAAAACAGAAAAATAGGACAAAGTTTCACCTAAAGTGGTGATGTAAGGATGAAAATGTAAATTAGTGGGTGACAAAAGTAGTAATGGTGCTACCGATAATACTTCTGACAGGTAATGGTACACATGACTAAATACCAACTGAGAGTTGCAAAAATACACCAATGACAGAAGAAACTTCCAGATACTTCATCCACAACATAATTTCTAAGTAACAATTTGGTGTAGATTCAGCATGGAGACAATGGTATAATATGTGGTACTACTGACTGAAAAACATCAAGTGAAACAGCTTTCACTTTCCTGTAACATTCTTTCAAAGTTTCTTGAAAACAATCATATATGCTTATGTTTGAACAGTTCTTACACCATGTGTCATTACAACATCATTGCTTCTTCCTGCAGCCCTTTAGTTAGTCCCCACCTTTCTAGCATATATACCATGTTAAGTTGCAAAGGTATGCCCATTACATTTGTCGGGTATGTTTGTCCAGAATTCTCATCTATCTGCAGTCCACATGTAACATAATAACTTGGCAACAAATTTTCAGCTAACACTGGGGACTTTTATAAAAATTTGTTGGTACTCAAATTTTGGTTAAAATCATACAATAAAAATGTACAGTAAATATTTATGAGAGGGAAAAATGTTTCAATTATTAAGTTGCAGAGCAAAATGAAACACATTTTACATCCAGTATGCTTATTTTTGTGCAAGTCTTACAGTTTTCAGGACAATTAAACAAAAGAGAGTGAAAACACCAGAACTGTCCTAATATGCATACATTTCCTACCTTGTTTTTAATTGCTAACCACGAACTTGATATATTATATAGTGAACCAGATATAATGAAAGCGATTAAGGAAGGGTGGCCGAGATAGCTGGGACACCTTTCAACAACGCATGAGCAAAACCCTTGGAGGAAGTCATTCCTATATAAACCAGAGGGTACTCAACAAGTAGGCAGACCTTCTATTAGGTAGTGCATTCAGCTGAATATCTGAAGACAATGGACACTGGAAATTGGAGACAGAAGTCATAGGTTCAGGGCCAATGGAGAGCAATCATAAAAGAGTCCAAGGTTCGTCATGGACTGTAGTGCTATGGGAGGAGAAGTTAATAAACACTTCTGAAATTCAGGTGATATTAATTAGATGCATAGTTAGATATACAAAAATACTGAAAATGAATTTTAAAAAATGACTAGCACACATACCACACTTGTTTACTGATATTATAATCTAGTTCCATTCAATGTTTTTACTTCAGCTGTCTGTCATCACAGCAGGTGTGTCTGTCTGGGAACATTATCTGCTCTGGAAGTTCTCATCTTATTGTAACTGTCAGACTACTAGAGGAACAACATTTAAAGGGGGAAAGGAATGGAACACAGAAGTGAGATGACTCCTTATCTGTATGTTCATGGGAGGCAATGGAAATTATAAAATACAGAACAGGTGGCTATGGTTACATTTCACCTGTGTAAAAAATACATTCTAAACATTCTACAGATGAAATAAGTTATGCCTGCTGATTATCATGTTTGAATTTCTGTAAGAGTAATAATGAGTTACATGGATGAATAATATATAAAAAAATAACCTACATTAAGATATGAACCCAAGAATTTCTTGGAGAAGTTAGAGAAGATTAAGAACCCATTAAAGCAGATTATAGTCACAATTCAATGGTTATTTGGAAAATAACATCTGGCAAGCTGTTAAAAAACAATGAGATCAATTATGTGCAAAAAATACACACATACTTAAGCTACTTCTCATTGTAGTCACTGCTGGAATCAAGGCACTTATATCAGAGAACAAGCTTTTGTATGTCTTATCAACTCTTCATTACTGCTGAGGCACTGTGATCTCAACCAGTTCTTCAGGTAGGTAAACAGGTGGCAGTCATTTGGAGCAAGATCTGGACTTCATGGTTGGTTGTCAAACAACTCCCAGATGAAATGCTCCAGCACTGCTGGAGTGTGAGCAGTCGTACGTGGACGCACATTATTATGGAGGACCACTATACCAGATGCCATCATTCCATGCCTTTCATTTTAATTGGGCCTATGCATTTTATTTAGTGTTTTGCAATACACTTCTGATGTTATCGTGGTCCCTTGTTACATGAATTCCACCATTTGCACTCCTTTCCTGTCCCAGAAAACAGTTGCCATCTGCTTTCAGGGAGACATTTGTTTAGACTTGTTTGGCTTCTTTGGTGAATGTATATGCATCCACTGCTTTGAATGCTCTTTGGTTTCAGCATTCACAAATGAAACCAGGTTTCATCACCTGTTACTTGTACAATGTGATTGAGAAATTCATTTCCATCTTTGTGGTATCACTATAAAATAGTCAAAGCTGAAGGAAGCCATTCTCTGCGTTTTGGGCACATCTGTGAGCATCTTCAGAACCTGTGCAAAACTTGTGATGGCAGCCTAGCCTAACAGTTATAATCTCATACAGAAAAGTGTGTGAAATTTGTGGAAATTCACATAAAATTTCTGAAATTGTGAAGTGCTGTCTTTCACAAATTTTTTGGTCAAAACTGAACAAGATCATCACTCATTACAGATGGCCAACCACTTTGCTCTTAATTGTGAGCCTTTGTTCGTTCATCTTCGAACATTCTATACCACTGTCTTACAGCTCCTTCACTCATTACATTTTGGCAATGAATTGTGCATAATCCATGATAGTTTTCTTCAGCACTCATGTTTTTAGCATTAAAAATGAAAATGTGAATTTCGCAGCTGGTGAGATTATCAATCACAGGATACATCCTAACTCAATCTGCAGAGACAAGAACAAACACTAGGTGACCAGTTATGTGAGGTTTACAAGGCAATGAGTCATGTGATGCTACCTTGCATGCGTGAGCCCTCCCCCACTTCAACAATAGTTGCCTAAAGTAAACGGCAGTTACTTTCCGAATAACCCTCATATCTATTTCTATTCACATCATTAATAACATACTTACTTGAGAATGAGATCAATATCCAAATGAGGAGAGAGATTGTTGAGAGCCAGGTACTGCCTATTTAGACACATATTGGAAAAAAGGTTTAGCTGGTGTCGATAGTAATCCAATATTGCTTGATCTTTCCGATTTCCATGTTTTGCTCCTCTGGATAATTCTCCAAGAGACATGCTCTCCTACAAGAGAGAACTCCTTTGTGATACTGGGAGATTAACAAATTGTTCAGAGAAAATAAAACCATAAAGGTCCATACAAATATGAAAAAAAAAAACTAGATTTAAAAGCAAACATATAAAAACTAAGCAAACTGTTATTTTACACATTATGTAAGTTCATACTGTTACTAATATATTTAACACTTTAAGGTCTTCATTAAGTGACACAATTCATGGTTTCTGAATACTATGTAAGTAACTAAAAAGAGTAAAACTCCTGGATAATGTAGGGCTTGTGAGATAGATGTCAGATCTCTTATGGTGCACATGATTTAGGTTTGTTGATAGTGCTCAGTGGGTTAGGAAAAGTGAAAATTATGCTCTGGAAACAAATTATATAATAGCTAAGACTTACAACATTGTGTGAGGTACATGAAATATATTTCATTCTGTTGTATTAGGCATTAAACACAACTCAATATATGCTGTAAGGATAATTTCTCAATATTGATTATATCACACCTCTCTATTATTCCAGAGCAGCAAAACTTCATCTTCTTCAATAATGGAGACCATGGAATCAACTTCTCCTACTGTTTCATCTAGTTCATCAACAACTTCTTCTACTTGAGTCCTCATCATCCTGGTGCAAGCAAAAAAGAAAACAGAAATCACCTTTTACTGCTTATATCTGGGATAGAACTTTATCTGTAGAACTAAAGCCAACTTACTTTAATCAAACTAAAATATAAAGGTATATTTAAATGTACTAAAATGCTGGGCAAAGGCAACAAAGTGATATACCTTAATTGATGGATCTGTGGTTCTCACTGCTGTGACTAGGAAGAGTACTATCATCTGTGATGTAAAGGTATGCATCTAAGATTTGAGGTTCTCATAGCTGTGGTTATGAAGAGTTCTACCTTCTGGGATATAATGCTGTGTAGTCTGTTGAAAGTCAACTGATGTTTTGCAGGAACATGTTATCTCCATCTTCAGGGTCAAAAAATAAGTCAAGCAAGAAACCAGTGTGAAAGCAGTTGCCACCTGTTTTCATGCTGGTTTCTTGCTTGGCTTATTCTTTGACCCTGAAGATGGAGCCATGTTCCTCCAAAATATCAACTGACTTTCGAAGGATTACGGATTACAGAGTGTTATATCTCAGAAGGTAGAATGCTTAAAGGTATGCAGTTTGGTAGAAGTTCACCACCTGTCTTTAGGGTTAACAGTTAGATGAGCAAGAAACCAGCAAAAAGCAAGTCTGCCTGCTTCTTGCTGGCTTGCACGACTTAGCCTTCAACCTTGAACACATCTACCCAACAGCATATAATTCCATCCCAGAGGATGATACTCCTACTAATATATTTTCAGTTTTCAATTTTTTGTTACATTATTTTGGGGGGATTTTATTTTGCAAAATTATTTTAAATATTTTGCCAATACAATATGAAAATCAACAGCACCACCAATCTCATAATTTTTCAATGTTGAATAATTATTAATTTCACATAAGTTTACATGAAACAAGAATAGTACCTGCAGTGTTGTGTTTTTGAGTTTGTCCCTATAACTTAGAATATTTCTAACATCTTTGAATATATAAGAAATTCCTGATTATCTGGTCATAGGACAACTATACAGATGCTATATGAAATCTAATTTTCTATAATCATAACTAATTCCAAAACACTGTGTTGGCACATTCATTGCAAATCTAAATGTATTTGCTGCGTAAGTACATCCAGTACACTAATTCTGAATATTGTCATGACTTTAGTGACTACAGATGGGGTTTGGATTGGTAACTGGATTTACCGAATTCTTACATATCTGTGACTACAAGTAATTGTAACAATTTTATTAATTCACACACTTTACAGTTCACTAGAGCACACATTTCAAGTCTTCTCAGCCTGCTGTGTCTTCACCAGTCATCTGGTTAAGGCTTCTAATGGAAGATATTCCCCCTTCTCTAGGTTCCTGAACTATCCCCAGCCTCAACTACCAGCATCTCACAGCAATAGCTCACAACAACTGAACCCCAGCAGACTCACTGACTCACCAACCAACTTGTCCTACTTATAACATCTTAGCATGGACTGCACAGAAAATAAAATTCTTCTGTTGCAGTGCAACTGTTGTGTTTGTGTCTGCACAGCCGTTTCCTAGCAACAGCTATTGCACAGCTGCTTACTTCGCGGTCCTTGCCTAGTAATGGGTCTACATGCCACAACATATTTGTTTTAGTTTTACTAAATTTCAATCACTGTACCATAATGAATATGCATAAATTACATGCCTGTGAACTCTTTAATTCTATGTAGGATTTGAGGTTTTCGCAGTAGTGACTATGAAGAATGCCGTCTTCTGGTACGTTGCACAGTGTAGATCTTGCATGAACAGACGTTTCAGAGGAACGTAACAATTCCATCATCAGGGTAGAAAAATCCACAGGCGAGGAACCAGCGTGAGCAGGTGACTAGCAGACTGAGCCACCAGTTTGCTCTTATGTACCTGGTGTTTCCCCTCCCCCACTCCCTCCCACTGTTCTTATATAGCTGGGTGTTTTCGACTGTTGGCTCAGTCTGCTGGCCACCTGCTCACGCTGGTTCGTTTGCGGATTCTTCTATCGTGATGATGGAGGCGAAATGTCGGTTCACACAAAATCTACACAGCACCACATCCCACAAGACAGTTTTCTTCTTGAATTCCAGCTCCAAATCCAAAGTATATTAGCTAAAAGAAAATAGATTTTTCATAATAAAGTTGACAGAATTCTAGGAAGAATTGTGGATATTAACATATGTAGGGCAGGGGGTTTAAAAAAGTAAGAAGGAGAAGATTAACTCTGTATTACACGGCCATCGGAAGTCCAATAAACCTATGACTGCTAATAAAATCACAATATATACATTTACATCCTTAATTCACAGAGTATTAAATTGTGACCTGCTTTATTATGATCAATTGGCCTTTAACTAATCAAATGTATTCTGGCCAGAATAAAGTAACAATTTAAAACTACTGCTTTGGAACTGTGTTTTCACTAAGTATTAAGATGAACACCAATTTCATTTGAGGTATAATAATTCATATCACAAAACAAAAAAAACAAACTCCGTGGTTTCAGTCCGCAAGCAAACTATACCGACCAAGCAACCGCCGCCTGTTGGCGAAGTTAGTGCCAACTTTAGCAGATAGAGGGTGTCGCGTGGTGAGCGCAATGAATTGCCATGGCCGTTAATTTCGGGTTTCTACACTGGAGCAGCTATCTCCTTGAGATTGCTCCTCAATTATCCTCATGAGGCTGAGTGGACACCGTTCCAGACCCACTACTTCTCAGAAAATTTGGTAGCGCCAGGAATCTGGATCTGTAGCCAGGAACCACAGAGGTGGTCAATAATTCTTATCATAACATTATTAAATATGCAAGTATAACAATCACTCATAATCCCAAATTGGAATGCTATTTTTTAATGTAACAGTACATAAAGAGAATTTCAGAATTTCCTGTATGTCTACAGACATAATAAATCAATATAAATTACATCTCACAACAAATTTGCATCTGTCATCTACTCAACATAATTATCACCAAGCTGATATGCCTTTCCCACTGACAAGCTAGACAACTGATTGCTGAGCTGTGATTATGTGTGTTCAGATGGTATAAATATTGCTGTGACAGTCCTGTTCACGACTTCTGCAGTTTCAAACAAGCATCCTTCAAGTGGCTTATCTACTCAAGCAAATATGTGTTCACATGAGAATAGGCCCAGTGATTAGGAAGGCTGTGTCTGTACCACCCAAATCCAGGTCTACAACAAGCTTTATGCAGCACAATGGTGACAGGACAGCACCGTCCTGGAGGAAAATTAGACCATATTCCAGGTGTAGCTGTTTCCACATTGCACCATGTCACCTATGGGGGGCATGCGGTAGCATAGTTGGTTGCGGCATTATGCTACAAGCCGGAAGGTCATGGGTTCAAGCCCCGATGAGGTCGTTGGATTTTTTCAATTGATCTAATCCTTCCAGCCGCACTATGGCCCTGGGGTCGACTCATTCTCTGATAGAAATGAATATTATTGGGGGTAAAGGGTAGCCTGCACATAAGGCTGACAACCTTGCTGCCATCTATGAGCCGACTGTCTAGAAAAATGTGGGAACCTCAACATCTCACAACCCTATGGGCCTCCATGGCCTGTTACAGGGATACCTTTACTTTTACCATGTCACCTAATAGACATCATGAACAGTGGTATGAGGTGGCACAGGATAGCCAAGCATAAGCCTCTCAGGAGTGAAGCATGAAATGTGCTATTGTCAGAATATGCACACTGTGCTGTACAATTTCATTCCAAAATGTTGGCACTTTGCAGCTTCAGTTCCAGGAGAGATTCCTGTTTATTACAATTACCGCTTCCTTTTACTTAACTGGGTGCTGCAAGCTCATTCCAATGTTCAGAAGTTTCAAAATACGTCTACCTTCCCATATCTCTCTGTCCTCTGGGATCACACAAGTATTGTAATTTTGGCCCCCACTATCTTGCAGTCTATTTACATGTTGTTTCCAACTGACATACACCCAGTTTGCAGCATATCTCTTTTTCATTTGGTATTTTGTCTCAAAATATAATTCCTCTTAATGGCTTATGAAATTTAATTTTTATGCCTCTATTCTTCAATTTTACTTTCTTCTTGTAACTCAAGCTCCATTTCCAAAATGTAAACCTGACTTAGCTCTTACTTTATGTATTCATGTCATACACTCATTTTATTTTTAAAAGTGTTTTTCATTATTCAATGTAGTCAGTTATACTGCACACAAAATGCGGAGCACTACATGCACATATTCCATGTGCTTTATCAGTAACCGCTGCTGCTACACCACTGTGAGGAATATCTGCTGTGTCTTCTCCCCTGTGATTAAAGGCATCTGCTCAGTATTGAACATTTTTACGTTCTTCTCTTTCATCATAGATTAAACATACAAAACTTGGTCACTGCCCTGACATCAAAATGCTACAAATCCACACTTTTTCCTCGGTCCACAGTTTATCAATGCATGGACACATACTAAGGCAACATCTGTGGAGAGCATGGGAAGCATAATTTATTATATGCTGGCAAATACATATATAAATACAGGGAGAATTTTTAGTTTGTTGACTGATTCCATGGCTCTGCACTTCATGGTGGCCGACGCACTGCTTGCTGTGAGGTGCATACAAATTTTGCTGATGAAGCAGCATGCCTGATGGCTGATAACATTGGGAATGAAGGAAAGTTCTTATCTTCATTTACACATCAAAGGTGGTTTTGAAAATACTGTCCCTGTACATGTACACATTCCTCACACCAGCAGAAGCTGTTCTGCAGGAATACTTGCAATTTCCTTATGAATATTTTCTTTTAGTTATTCTTCTGTTTGGGCATTACTGCTGTAAACTTTGTCCTTCAAACAATCCCAGAAGAAAATATCACAAGGAGTAAGATCGGGTGAACATGCTGGCCAAATACCACTACTGATAATTATGTCCCCATAGCCTGCATAGATATCTATGCAGGGTGGGCAGTAGCCGAGGATTACTGAAACCAGCCATAGAGTCTCTCTTCTTCTGTTAACTCTGGAAAGAACTG